GCCCTCAACCCCCCACAGTAAACATCTTAGCTTCAGAGATTTTAAGTAAAAAAACAAACAACCTCTGGATCTACTCATGGCTTTTGCCAGGTTCCTAACCTGGGCTAAAGGCAAAGGCTGGACAGTTGGGATGCCCTCTTTCATTTGGAATAATTTTGCTTTATGAAGTCAGTCCTTTTACACTGCTAATATTTCATGGAATGCAAACACTTCCGTGTAAAGAGCAGTGCCTCTTACTTGTTTGTTTGGCAATAGGAGAAGCTTCCCTGTTTCATTAACTCAGTATACCCTTTTGTCAAATCTTTCATATTGCCAGTTTAGAATTACCTTTTTCACCCTGAATTAGTCGCAGATTTATTCCTGCAGGACCACGGCTAAATTGTGTCCACCTTCCTTAAAATAGATAAGCACCATTTCTGCTGAGCTGCTACTTACTGATAGGTCCTAGTTCAGCAAATTCAGCTACTTCACAGAAGTGTCCTGAGCCTCCACTTTTTTATTTAATTCGCAAAGTCCAGTCCAAGGGAGCATCACTAAATGAATCCAGTGCATATTTGCCCTACATATGCCTATGGGTACCTACATATGCCAGACACACACATCTCATCTAGTGCTGCTTCAAGGGAAGTCTCCCCCCTCTTCTGCATACCCTACTCTGGACTCTGGCAAACTCAGGCTAATGGCTGGCCCTAAAGTTTGAAGTAGTCATTTAAAAAATCTTTTGATCCCTGAGCTGAATTCTTACAGAATAATCAGAATTAGTCCATTAAATTGAACAACTAAGCCTGAGCCCCAAGTCTACCTTCATATCCTCTTTTCATCCACTCAATTGTGATATGAGATTAATCTTGATCAAATAAACCTCCTGATTTTTTTTTTTTGTTCAAACACGTTTAATGTGTAACTTGTGCTAAACAAATCCGAGTATACCCACACTCTTGTAATCCATGCACAATTCAAAATTGGCACATTGATAGCGAGTTATATCATTCAAGATGTTGTGTTTTTAATTTTAAGGCTGCGGCAAGGATCAGTATAAATAACAATGGCAGAAATTATTTGTTCTGGTAAACAAAGGCAAGTGGTTGAATTCTTTGGAATTTCCCTCATTAACCTTTTTTTTAAATGTAGGCATACATCTGACTATAACTACAGATATCACTGTCATGACTCTGATTTTGAGCGACCAAAAGGTTACCATCACCCACATGGGTTTTTTGAAGAAGATGATTCACAGATCTGTTATGATGCAAAAAGATCTCCTAGAAGACGGTTGCTACCTCCCACGCCAACACGTGAGTGCATTAAGAATGTTTCTAAGTATCTAGAATTGTAATTTATGGGCACATGTTCAGTCTGCCATGAAAGCTGGATAGAAGGGAGAATGTTCATTTGTCCCTTGAACCTAGGGAACCCCTTGTAAGCCCACCCCCTGCTATGTCTTGTGTTGTTTGAGAGTTAGCTTCTCTCATTAGTATATTTATGAACATTTTAGAAAATAGAAACATGTGTCTGTATTGAGGTGCAGCCCACAGAATCTACAGATGGCATATAACGCATGTTTCCCTTGTTCTGCTTTTCTTTAATTTCTGCCCCCCCATGCCCCTTACTAACATGATATTAATACAGATAGGTTACTAATATTACAAATAGGTTAAAAGTCAATGGTATCTAATTACTTTATGAAGCAAGTGGGTGAAGGATCAGACAGCATTCAGCCACGGTTTCCTCAAAGTTTGTTCTCCGTGTTACGTGAATTAACCTTTGTTTCCTTTAATGAGTAGCTGTACTGTGCTGCTATAAACAACACTATTGTCACTATAATGACTCACCTGCTGGTACTTTCCATGTGTCTCTCAACCCAGACACAACAGTGGCTAATGCTTTTATAATTTTAATTTGATCATTTTTTTAATGGAAGCAAACACATTTTCCTTTGACTTTTCATTTCTGGAAAGGTGTGCCTGCCAGTTATAATACAGGCCTTCCACAGTGCTGCTCCTTTGGACAGTATAATTGAAATGGTCTTAGCCCCTGTTGTCTTAGCAAATGCCAGAGATGGACAGAAAGCGGGGCAGGGCAGCAATGGATTAACTCATCCAGAAAGGCATTAGGGCTGCCTATAGACGTGCTGCTTCGCGTTCCAATTAGAATGCGTCAGAGCAGACTTGATTAATTGATTAATCTTAAAGGTCACTGCTCTATTGGCTAGGTTAAAGTTGTCTGCCTTTTAAAGACAATGTTGAAAGGCACAAGAAGGACATGCATAAACTATTTATACGTAGTAAGTTCCTTAACGACATTATCTATGCAGTGTTCTTGCTTCTAGAACTTTTTGGTAGGTGGGCTTTTTGTTTCTTTGAGGGGGTGGCTTGATGGCAGTGATAATGGGTACAGAACAAAATGTATGTTCTCTGGGGACAACTCCCCTTAGTCCCTACTCTCTAAGGGGACAACTCCCCTTAGTCCCAAGTAGCCCCTTGCAGGCTGGAACTCTGCCAGCCTGCAAAGGGAAACCAACCATTTGCCTTGTTTTTCTCTTTTAAAGGAGAAAATCCTTGTTCTTCCTCAGTGTATGGAAAACCTAGATCCCTGGTTTTTGGAAACCAGTTCATATCTGTAACACAACAGAAGTTCAATGCAAATAAACTGCTTTCAGAATGGCCAAAACTGGTTTTAAGATAAACCTGGATGGATGTAGTATCAGACTTAACTGATTTAGGTTAAATTGGTTTATTGAAGTTCTGTCCCAGATTCCCTCCAGATTCAAGTTAACTTACAGTCCCCCAGCATCCCAGGATGCCCTGCACCTCCCCTACAACCCTCCCCTTGCAGAGTGGGCAGGCTACCCTTAGCCCAAGCTGTCTGCTCCAGTCAAGCAGGGAGGCATGCTCTAGTGCCCCCCGACTTCTGGTATGAGCCACTACAGGCATGTGGCTGCATTTCTGAAATCAAAAGTGAACATCTGTTCACTTGCTTGTGAGTTCAATCTACGCAGCTTAGACTCACTTGCAGAAATTGAATCGATTCAGCCTTGGGATTTTTGACTCTCTGTACTTTGCCCTTCTGATTCAGGTTAGTGCAGGGGACAGACTCCAAACTTTCATCAGTAAAGAGCAGTCTTATATTTTCTGATCTCTTCCCCTTAGCCAAGGTGGGACAGGAGATTTCCATATAGCAGCATTCTCTGGGCCCCATTTAACTTTTGGTTGTATGGCCTTCCCAGCCATAACTATTATTAAACTGAGAAATCTTTACAGGAGAGTTATGAATAAAATGCCTGGAGCCCTAAGTTATTCTCAGACAAGAATAAGGTGAGAAAGCTGTTAGGACATGAGTCTGATCTGAATAGCACTAGTGTAGTGTAAGGGTTATTTGAGAGAAGTCAGTTGATTGTCACCAATGTAATGATAAAAGAGCATAATCAACCCCTCCAGTAGTTTTACTGTGCTGGAAACTATGTAAAAATATTGCTCGTACGTTCTATATTTTATATATATGAAGATGTTAGTGCTTCAGTGCCCCAGGAGATTTTAAAAGAAGATTGAAACAAACACTTTATTCCTAAGTAGCCTATAGGATGTGTGAAGAATGCACTATGCACACTACCTTGGGAAATTTCCACTCACAACTGAATCCAGTCCAAGCTAATGTGATCCACCATGTCTTGGATGGTATTGTAGTTAGAACACTGCGCACTGGAATTCTGCTCCATGTAGGTTCAGAATAATTACCAGGTTTGTAATTTTAAGTAGTGAACTGAGCAGTGTGACTCAGTTCTGCCACCTGCTTGTTCTCTTCATTCCAAGGAAGTGGAGCATGTAGTGGAGTGTTTTTGCTCTGGCAAAGAGACATTCTCTTTTTTTAATAAATAGGTATTTGAAGTTGGAAGTATCCAACACTTTGTAGAACCAGGCCCTAAATGCTATTTCTTACTTGCTGTTTTCAAAGTACTATGATATGAGAAGAGATGCTGAGGATGGTTTTAAAATATTGCCGTGGCTTTGCATGGACAGGATACCTGCAGGTGTTCATCACAAAATTAACACATGTACATCTAGCACCTTGAATACAGTAATTTCCTTTGTGCTGTTGCTGAGACTGTTGCATAGAAATTCTATCCACATGTTACTACTAGGAAGCTACAAAGCCCAGTCAATATATTGCTATGTCAGTCAAGCAACAAAATTCTGATTCAGTTCTGAGTTGCTTTTTCCCCGTTCAGATGTTTTTATGAATATTCAGTGTTCCTGTATAGAATGTAGCTTATTGCCTGCCTGGTATTGTAAGCAACACAATAAGAATCAGAAAAAAACTAATTCAATTAATTTTGATTTATGTAGTGTGTCTGGTATTGCACTTTTTATTACATCAAACAACAGTCTCTGGTAGTTTCTAAGAGTATGGTTCTTTGGCATAAGGAACTTACAGCTGTGATGACCACAAAAAAAAAGGAAAATAAGTCAACTGTTTATTTTAAAATTATCTGCATTCCTTAAAATGGATTTCTAATTTTAATTGCCTTTTTAACCTGTGCATAACAGTTCAGCTCAAACCTTGTCTCTGAAGTTGTCTAGTTTGATGGTGCCTCTCTCAGGACTATTTAGTCCACATCCTGAATCCTCTGTCTCAAGTCACTTCCGTCTCCAGATATCTGCTCCATAAGGCCTCAGAGCATGCATAGACCCCTCCAATCAGGAATACTCTGCTAAATATGTGGAGTGACAACTGGAATTATGGAAATGTTTGATCTTGTGAAAGATAATCAACCCTATCCTAACGACTATTGTTATGTTATAGCAAATCGTCGATCTTCCTTTAACTTCGAATGCCTCCGCAGACAAAGTAGTCAAGATGATATAACACTCTCTCCTACTTTCCACCACCGCACTGCTTTACCACTGCACTTAATGCAACAACAGGTAAATCAAGTATCTTAATTAATTAATACTAAGTTGAAACACTTCAGCACGGCTATTCTATCTTGGGCTTTGTGGTTGTTTGAAAATTCTATCAGTAAGCCATACATCTGGTCTCTATACCTCCAAACACCACCTCGCTCCTGGACGCAATGCTCCCAATCCTGTCCCATCCAAAATGGCATTTCAGATATGTTGTACTATCCAATACCACTCAAAGACAGTTTTATCTGGGACACTATAAAAACATTTCCTTTTTGCTGTAAGATGCTCACAGTAAAATGGAGAACCTAAGGGATACTGTCAAGTTCTGGGGCTTCAACCCCTCGCCATTGTTAATGGCCTTGCTTCACGTGAGGGTTGTTAATACAAGATTTGATTGGAATAACTGCCATGGGAACATGGCTATCCCACAGCTAGTGTCCCTTCAGAACCTTCCTCTTCTGCAACAGTGTCCTTTATTGCACAAACTCGGTAGGGTACCATTCACTTTACTTTCAAAGCAGTAAAGCACTCTTTTTTGTCTTTCAGTCTGTGATCAGGGTTGTTTGGGTTTTCAGTTCTAACAAGTAATTTAAAATGAAGCATGCTGAAAAATGTAAATGTTTGCAGGAAAATGCCATATGGTAGGTGAGCATTGCAAAAGCAGCATTGTTTCTACAAGGCCTCAAGGGCCAAATGCTGGCATGAGTTATACGTCTAGTAGCATGAGCACTAAGAGCAGAAGCAGACATAATGTGGATATGGGCACTTTCTAGGCCTTGAGACTTACTATGACAAATGGTTTACTACACAGCTGTAAATCAAACTCCCATTAGCTACAGTGAGCTTGCCTTGAGTAAAACTGAATAAAGGTCCCATGGATTAGCTCTTTAGTTCTGATACAATTTCACAATTGTATTTGCTGTAGCATAAAAATATTCAGTGGTAATATATTATTATATACAATACATATTTGGTCCAATAAAAGGTATCACCCTAAGAAATCCTTGCCTCTTCCATAAGTTCGGCATCATCATGGCACATCACTCTTACACCACTATAAAAATTGGAGAATGTACTGGTTGCATGTAGAGATTGTCTTGCAACTCTTAGCAAGTCAGGATTGATGCATGCTTATGCTGCAGATAACACTTCTTTTGGCTTGTAACATTTTCCGGTGGATACATGCAACTGTTTGTAATTTAAAATGACTATACATTAGACTACTAATATATAAATCTGAGACTTTGTAAGTGCATTAATATCTGTATCCTTAAATGTGTAGTTGTAGATGATTACCAGTAATATATTAAGGTGGTACAGACTGGCTGGAATAATTTTAAAAATATATATATTGGGAATGAGTATATTACTCCTCACCTTGGCTCCCTCCTAAAACTAGCTCATCGCGGTGGACATAGTCTTTCTGGACTTTAGGAAGGCCTTCGACACTGTCTCTCACTCCATTCTATTAAAATATTAGGTGACTGTGGCATTGATACCTACATAGTCAGATGGGTCGCAAATTGGCTGGAGGGCCGCACTCAGAGTGGTGGTGGACGGGTCATTTTCGACCTGGAGGGATGTGGGCAGTGGGGTCCCCCAGGGCTCAGTCCTCAGGCCTGCACTGTTCAACATCTTCATCAGCGATTTGGACGAGGGGGTGAAAAGCACCTTGTTTAAATTCACGGATGACACTAAGATGTGGGGAAAAGTGGGCACGCTGGAGGAGAGGGACAGTTTGCAACTGGATCTGGGCAGGTTACAGGGGTGGGCGGATGAGAACAGGGTGGGTTTCAATACTGACAATTGCAAGGTGCTGCACCTGGGGGAGAAGAACCAGCAGCATACCTACAGGCTGGGAAACTCTCTTCTTGTCAGCACAGAGGCAGAAAAGGATCTTGGTGTCACTGTTGATTCCAAAATGAACATGGGCCGACAGTGTGGGGACGTGGTCAGGAAGGCTAACTGCACCTTGTCATGCATCCACAGATGCATCACGAGCAGGTCCAAGAAGGTGATCCTCCCCCTCTATGCAACACTGGTCAGGCTGCAGTTAGAGTACTGTGTCCAGTTCTGGGCGCCGCACTTCAGGAGGGATGTGGACAACTTCGAGTGGGTCCAGAGAGCCACTCACATGATCAGGGGCCAGCAGGGCAGGCCCTACGAGGAGAGGCTAAGGGACCAGAACCTGTTCAGCCTCCACAAGACAAGGCTGAGAGGGGATCTGGTGGCTGTCTACAAACTAGCCAAGGGGGACCAGCAGGCTATGGGAGAGTCCCTGTTCCCCTGAGCGCTACCGGGAGTAACGAGGAATAATGGCCATAAGTTGACTGAAAGTAGATTCAGGCTGGACATCAGGGGACACTACTTTACAGTCAGGGCACCTAGGAGCTGGAACCAACTTCCAGGGGAAGTGGTGCTGGCTCCTACCCTGGGGGTCTTCAAAAGGAGGCTAGATAATCACCTTGCCAGGGTCGTTTGACCCCAGCATTCTTTCCTGCCATGGCAGTGGGTCGGACTTGATGATCTGCTTAGGTCCCTTCTGATCCTACCTACTATGAAACTATGAACTATGAAATTATTTGCATAAACTGGCCGGCACTGCTTTCATCTGGTGTTATTTTCCCAAATGCTATTTGGTTAAAGCTTCATTCTGTACTCCGACTGATTGAACTTCAATAAGCTTTCTATTCCCACAAGATCGTAATTCCGATCAACTGATGTAGTTTTCTTTTGTATCATGAGATGAACTCTCAGTGGCCTGAGTCTCACTGCTCTGACAGCACGGTGGAAGGCCCAGAGGTTTTGTGTCAGCCAGACAAGCTCTTGCAGTCATCCAAATGGTGCTATCTGGGCAGGTCCCCTTGAAGCTAGCATGCAAGACCTTTAAGGACTATTTTAAGCTTCAAGCTAAGCTCTCCTTATCCTGTTATAGCAGGAGCATAGAATTGGTATCAATGTTTGGTTTATCTAACTGTTGACTATATTAAGCAAATATTAGGCAGATATTCTAAAAGTGACTTATGGAGATGTCAGTTTGTGGTTTGGCTGCAAATGCAGCTACTTAACTTCCTCCTTTTCTTCTACGCTGTTACATGCTACAAAGGATGTCTCTTCATAGCAGCTGTCTAAATGGTTTGATTGGATTTAAATGAGGAATAAACCTGCTGGGGATTATTTGAGGTCCATTAACTATTACATCTCTTCCTTTTACCAGGTCATGGCTGTTGCAGGTCTGGATTCCAGTAAAGCACATAAGCATTCACCAAGTCGTTCAACACGTTCCTGGGCCACCCCACCAGCCACCCCTCCCAACAGGGACCGTACTCCATATTACACCCCTCTCATCCAAGTTGACAGGGCTGAATCTACAGAACACATGAATGGCAGCCTGCCTTCTTTGCATAGGAGCTCCTGGTACACAGACGATCCTGATATCTCCTACCGAACATTCACACCAGCCAGTTTAACCGTACCTAATGACTTTAGGCATAAACATAGTGACAAACAAAGAAGTGCAGACAGCTTGGTAGAAGCGGTAAGTACTACATAAATCCTTAAAAGTAGCCATGTGTGTCTTGTCTGTTCAGTTTTGTGTTCATTTTGCAATATCCATGACCAAACACATCCTAAATTATACCCAACATATACTGGATTTTATATATTTCACTGGAAATACTAGATTTCAGATTAAAACTTCCACATGGTGTTTAGATAAGGCAGGTGGAAGTCTGAAACAAACCCTCAAAATCAAAAAGCTCCACTGAATACTGAGCTGAGGATCTAGTTCTAGAATGTGTGGCAGGGAGAAAGCAAGCTGAAACCTGGTAAGTTGTATATTAAGGATGTACCAGTAATAAAATAAAAAAGATGGGAGCACTTAAACTGTGAGCAATTTAAAGTATGTGGTTCAAAACAGTTTCACAGGTAACTCAAAATGCTTAGGATCACATAATGTCCTGCCTTTTTATAATGGCATAGAGGCAAGGAATGGTACCTGGAGCCCTCTGGGCAGCTCTGTGGAGGGCTTAAGCCTTTCACAGTCCTTGCACTGACCTGAGAGCACAAGGACCTTGCAAATGGGAATGATGGGTGAGATAAGCTAATGGAAATGAAGTGCTTCCTGAAGGGGCATCTCAGTAGCTTCTTTGCATATGCTCTCAGGAGTATAAGGAATAATTTAATTTTCAAAGACGTGAAGGTAAAGTGGTCTCTACAGTTGCTAGGTATTTTAATTCTCTCAGCTGTAAAAATGTAGTATTCTTGCTTTATCAGTTCTGCTGCCACTTAAAATTTTCAGGATCCTTGCTTCCAGCTGTCATTTTCCCTTCCATAACTGGGAGTTAGATGACACATAAGATCTTTCAGTTCTTCGCTGATAGTATCACCAATAGAATGCTTTTCTATTTCCAAAAGTGTCTTCATCACCTCCTTCATTTTTTAGCCCACTGTTCAGACCACAACCCAAAGAATTTTACTATCATCTAAATAAACCAGCTTCTACCTATATTCTGTGTGCTGTTTATCAAAGGCTCCTCATAAATCTCCCAAGGAGAATTTCAATGTCATGTGTTACCAGTTACATCTTTAGAAAACTGTTAAAACTCTGGCCAGAACCACTTGAGTGTTGGACACTTAAGTTCTTGACATTGTTGCTCTTGTTGCTGCAGCTATTCAGCATAGAGTTTCATGGATTTTGCCCTTGAGTGATCTGGGAGGAATATGAGGCTTTCTGTTTATTTACTGATGATTTATTATTCAAAATCTGAACTGAACACTCCTCCATTTCTGTTTCAGGTACTTATATCTGAAGGCCTTGGGCGATATGCAAAGGACCCTAAATTTGTTTCAGCAACGAAACACGAGATTGCTGATGCTTGTGACATGACTATTGATGAGATGGAAAGTGCAGCAAGTAACCTTCTCAATGGAAACATTAGCAGTGGGACCAATGGGGATATGTTTCCCATTTTAAGTAGGCAAGATTATGAACTTCAAGACTTTGGTCCGGGTTATAGTGATGAAGAACCAGACACTGGTAGATATGAAGAGGACTTAGCTGATGAAATGATATGCATTACAACTTTATAGTATTTAGCAAGGAGAAAATGATTTCAATAACAGAAAAAGTGCCTCATAGTTCAAAGATGCTAGGCACTAGTTGGAAGTAATAATGAAACTAGTTTTGTACAAGTGATGTCACACCTCAAGGAAGCCATAATTTATTTATTAGTGTCTCTAGGTTGTTGAAATGTGATCAAAGCTGCAATGTGTCAAGTCCTTTTCCACAGAATCTTCAGTTCCTTTGCAGGAATAGGGTTATGTCAAACCAGATTCTGACAATCCCATTTTCAGAGGGCTAGAGAAGGATTTTGAGGTGTAATATCTTGCCTGTCTTTTAATCTTGTGCTACTGTCCTTCATAGTGAAGCAGAAGTTTGTCAAAGCAATGTCAGTAAAAGTCCAGCACAAAAGTATGTGGAGAAGATGACCATGTAAGACAGGTGATGACAATCAGAAGCGTCATTACCTCTGCGTTCAATAGCATATCAAATATTCACAGCATATCCATTCCGATTTTGTTTTCAAACTTGCCTCCTGGTTTTTTTGTTTGTTTTTTTTACCATTATTCTAAGATACAATGTGTCATGCTCTACCTGTTAGAGATCATTAAAAAAAGAAACCAGAAAACCTTTCTGTCATATGTAACACCAGTTTACATAGGAAAATATCATTCAGATAGTCTGTTTTATGACTATCATGTTAAGGGCAAAATATACTGGAATAATTGCATTCTTACTAATGCACTTGCAACCAGGTTAAAGTAGAATTAGATAAGATAGTTTGTTTAAAAATTATATAGTAGAAATTATTGTAAATGAATTGTAATATACAATAATTTGTATTTGTAAAGAGATGTTCTATATTTTGTAATTATTGTACCGTAATTGAACTGCAGCAATATTTATGGACCCTAATTATTGTAATTCTCCACAGAATTCTAGATATAAGTATTTTTACTCGGATTATATAGTTCTATAGGATAAATATTTAAATAGAGCCACCTTCTCAATGTAAATCTCTTTTTTGGATATAATGTCAAGTTTTAAAGGAAACTTGACAACACAGATTTTTTTAAAAAAATATTTTAAGTCAATACAAATCTGTCTTTACATAAGGGATGCACAGTTGACTATTTGCAGTCTTATACATGAAAAGTTAAAAATGAACTTATTTTAAAATTTTTGATTGACAATAAACTGTGATTTTATCTTTTAATAACCCCACAAAATAGATCATACTGATTTTGAAAATTGGCGAGACCATACCAAGGTACTATTAACCTTGTGACAATTATGAATTTTAACAAAAATGATAATTTTAACTAAGTTGTTTGCCTCCGTATATAGCATTTGATTTGGAAATAACTTTGCAGCTGGATTAAAATTTTATTGAATCCCTTGTATGTGTCGCTCTTCTCATAATGAAAAATCTAATCAAGTGACTCTACAGAATCAAAAGATTCCTGAGAAGCTAAATAGTACTTTGTTGCCTCTACCCTTTCTGCTGGTCTAGCTAAAGGATTTGTTTTTATGCAATCAAAAGAGGGCTTAGATATTGTTCACAATGCAGTAAAACCCTGATACAAGTTTTTGAGATTAGTACAGCCTTGAAGAAAAATAAAAAAATCTCAAAATCTGTTTATTTTCTTAACACTGGATAAAACTGACTTGTTGCTGACAAGTTGTCTTATCAGGATTTACCTGTACTTCACAAGATAGGTAACAATTCAGTTCACATTTTTAAAATGTGATGTTTAAAACCTGTCAATAAACATTTTGTACATAATGTCAATTTCCTATGGATACCTTACAGACCTCCTCTGGAATCATTCTTATTCAAATGCCAGGATAATAACTTAAGTATTTGTAAATTATTTCTTGACCTACATCATTTTGTATTAAAACAAATGCAAAATGTTCTTCAGAATAAAACTGTGTAATAATTTTATTATACTTTGGACTCCTTTCCATGAATGGCATCTCTAAAAGTTAAATTCTTAGTGCAGTGTTTAGAGGGAAAGGACATCCTTTCATTTGGAAAATATGATCCTTAGCCCAGAATACTACAGTCCTTAACTTCCTTTATATGAGTGCTCTTCTGCATAAAAAAATCCAGATACTTGAAGCTGAACAGGAGATTTGTGTATAATGGGACATCTTTAACAAGCCTGGAAAAAGATATTTAAAAAAAAACTATTCTGTAATGAATAAGATATTTTTAACTAAATCATCCCCTACAGGCTATCAGTTTGAGTCTTGCATATATGCCACTTTCAACTAGGATTTGCTGAGTTGGTTATTTAGCATTAATCACTTCAAGTGTTTTCCTAGCTTACAAAAAACAGAACACTTTGAAAGTCTAGAAAATAATAGTTCCAGCTCAGATGAGATTAGCATAAAAGTGGCAGTGGAGAATTTCTAAATTGGGAAGCATATAATCGTGAAGCTGTAGAGACTTCAGTGGATTAATTCTCTAAAAAAGACCACCTTTAAGATCAGAAGTTGGACACACAAATTTACTTACTGCTTTTGAAATCCTTCACTTAAATCTCCTTGCTATAGTGATTCTTCATAAGAGATTCCAAATTCTATAGATGACATAAGTTACATTTCTAAAACTAAGGCCCCAGTCCTACAATAGAATATCCCCAACTCTTATACTTGCATAAAGACTAACTGACTTCCTTAGGACTTTATGCACACAACTCACTTAAAATATATCTCCTTAATTAGAGCAGATTCATTTTTTTTTTTTTACAGGAAAATACAGACTTTTAAAAATTATAGTTTAAAAATGGGTTATAATGGTCAATACTTCACTATTACAACAATAGAGCGGGGATGGAAATGTGTTATAGAATAAAGATGCATAGAACTTTCTACTTAGCAGTAATACTGTAAGTCAGTACAAGTGTCTGTTTAATGTCTACCCTTTAAACTCTTGTGATTTGCATTCAATAATTCCTTTAATTATGGAAAATAACAGCAATAGATTGCCCTATTTAAGCACATCTGCCACATTTGTAGGTCACTCTATGTATACCTTTCCACACATACTGACCTATTAATAAAGCATCCAGTCATTAATAGTTGTTGGAACAGACATGGTCAAATACAATTTTTGCTAAGGATAATATCATCCACAATTTGCACAGTATATTTTGGGAGTCAAAAGACCAGAGACCCATCATTCAAAAATTGCTTGCATCATCTAAGATGTGCCTGGTTTTCATCAACAATAACTCTTCATTTTAAATGTATTTTTGTAATAAAGTCTGTAAATGAATTAATTCTTCTGCAAGTTTAGGTTTTCTGTAAATAAGTTTTAAATCCTAACCCATCTGATTGGCTGGGTCTATAGGGTCACATCACTTGGCTACCTCTGCTGAAAGCAAGTATTTGAGTGACCTTTCAGAAACTCTGAAGACAAGAAAAAGTCAGTTTTACAAATACTGCTAACTTTTTATGTTTTTAAAAACAATCTTTCACACTGAAGCAAACATTATATGGGAAAATCCATACAAAAAGTATACTTAAGGCCAATCTTTGTTTTATTCCATTTTGCTATTCCAAATATCTGTTGTTGAATAAATATCTTCTCTAGCTTGATTGTCAGTGAATTCAGTTCATGTCTGAGAGAGAGCAAAGAAAATCTACTGCCAAGGAAATGACAGGGATCTCATTAGCACAGGCTCCAGTAGATAAAAAGAATGAGGAAACTCCTATATGGCGCACAGAACCAGTAAGATGCTGGCATACTAAGAATAGTAACAATCCCAGCTCAAACAGACGTTGTTAACTGTATTAGTATCCTGAAGACTCTTCAGGAAGGCTTCTGCTGCTCACTTTGAGGAAAAGTGCAAACAGATGGACTTGTAGTATCATTTGTACTACAACATAATGGGTGTGTTTACACATGTCGCTATGGCGACGTTGCTACTGCACCCTGATTTAGTACTTCCTATACCAGGAAGCACATCGCTATGATGACATAGCTGCTGGTCAAGCACAGACGCCCACAGATGCTACAGCAACGTAGCATCAATGAAAAGAAAATTTTTATACAAGAGTCTAAGAAGCTTGATTTTTCTGGACCCACCAGAAAATGCTTGCTGTAACTCAAAGTGAGGTTAAGGTAATTTTAAACATGCTTCTGCATCCTTCCACTCTTGGGCTGGTAGGCTCCAGCCTAGTCATACCATATTTGAGCATCTTGCATGAACTACCAACAGCCCCCTGAGGCTATCTGGATATAAGAACCACTTAATCTGGAACCCACAAGACTGGACAAGGGCCAGCACAGGAGCCACCACTGCCAGCTCTGCACCACCCGAGGATTTGGTTCAATGGACAAAATTCTCAAGGAACCGATCCACTGCTGTACACCTGGTTTGAATCACAGAAATGACATAACTCAGTCCTAGCCCTCTGGAGATGAGGGCCTAAATTAATAAAATAACTGCAGCTTCACAACAATTAGAGTAAGTATGGATAAAGGAAAAAAAGAAAGGAAAATAACGTA